TCCATCCACCCATCCATCCATCCATCCATCCATCATCCATCCATCCGCCCATCCATCCATCCATCCATCCATCCATCCATCCATCCCTCATCCATCCGCCCATCCATCCATCCATCCATCCATCCATCCATCCATCCATCCATCCATCCATCCATCCATCCATCCATCCATCCATCCCATCCTCCTTTTCCCCTCTCTCATTCACCCATCTCCTGGTCATGCTTTGGCCATGCACGTCCCCAACACTCACCTTGGTCCCTGCTTTCTGTGCCATGGTTCCCCGGCCCCCTGGGCATCCCGCTGCCCCTCGGCCCTGCTCTCACGCCTCCCTTCTGCCCTTCCCCAGGGAGTTTGCCAAAGAGCGAGAGCGYGTGGAGAACCGCCGAGCCTTTATGAAGCTGCGGCGCCAGCAGCAGATTGAGCGGGAGCTCAACGGCTACCGGGCATGGATAGACAAAGCGGGTAAAGGACGGTGGCCTGGGGGACATCTGGGGGGATGGTGGGCACCACAGGCTGCTGGTCATGTGGGGTGGTGGGGATGGAAAAGAATCCTTGGGCTCCAAAGTGTCCCACATGGATGAGCTTGTGATGGTCCGAAGCGAGGATATCACCAGCCTCAGGTGAAACCTCAAGCTCTGTGGCACAAAATTGTCACGTTCTGCACATGTGGCACGGCACAGCCCCAGGGAGGTGGTGAGCAGCACAGCTCTCAGCTGTTCCCTGCCATGGTTTCCTTTCTCCCAGCGTTTGCTGGAGTCCCCTGCAGTGGGAAAGAAGAGGGAGAGGGGTTTTCCAGTCAAATCTCCTCCTGGAGCTGTCTGCAGGGGCATGCACTCACTGGTTCCCACCTCAGGACTCCTGGCCCTGGGCTGGGGGTGGTGGAGGTTCCAGGAAGTTCCTCCTGACACCAGGCATGACAGCCCGTGGGTGTTGGTTCCCAAACTGCCACAGCCCATGTCCTTGCTTGCTCCTCGTAGGAATCAGGTCAGTGCGCTCAGCTCCGGGAAGGGAAGATTTACACTTTCATCCAGCGCTCAGACTCGTGAAAGATGGGTGTCTCGAAATGAGCTTTGAGCACCAGACTCAGCTCTAACCCTGGGCTGGGCTGTTGAGCCCCAGAGCTGCCTACAGTGTTCAGCCTCTTCAATGGGTTTAATGACAGTGGAGGGAGAAGAGCTGASTAATTTTTCTTTCTGTTGCAATGTTTGGGAGCTGCCACTTGCCACTCTCCAGAATTTGCTTTTGGGCACTCAACCAATACTTGATAAGAATTTGCAATCTAGAGCTGATTCTGGGCTGGGGAAAGTTCTTAGGAACAGTAATGTGTGACAGTGTCTTGTCTCCTGATGCTGAACTGTGTGTTTTGCGTAGAGGAAGTCATGCTGGCTGAAGAGAACAAAAATTCGGGGACCTCAGCCTTAGATGGTAAGACCAGCAATGCYCTTAAAATCTGCCTGCCCTGCCTACAGCTGGAGGCTGAGATGGGATGTCGGGGAGGCCCAGTGGGGTCTGCAGCCCTAGAGAGGGGTGAGGGGAGGTGGGTTGGCAGCAGAACCCCCGAGAGAATGCAGAGGCTGGGCAGTGTCTGATCCCACACAAGGGATAGCTCCGGACTAGGATCACCTGGGTCACTCTGTCCTGTGACCAGACACGAGTGCTGATCGCCAGATCCTGGTCAAACGAGCTGGCTGCTGGCAGAGTTGGGCCTCTGAGACTCGAGCAGCCATTCCTCTTGCCTTCCCAGTGCTCAGGCGAGCCACCATCAAGCGGAACCGGACGGACGCCGGTGATGAGCACTGTGTCGACATCTCCTCCGTGGGCGAGCGGAGGCTGGCGCAGAGAAGACCTCTTCATCCAACCTTGGGTCAGTGCAGTCTGCATCTTGCTTTCCCCAAACCTCTGCCAGCTGATTGGGTTCCCAGAGTCACACCCATCACTGGAGACTGTCCCAGACCAGCCATCTTTCATCCAGCAGCAAAYTTCCTGCTGCCCCCTGTGCCACATAAAAACTCTCCGGACAAGTTTGGCCCCATAAGATCAGTGGCCACGAGCCATCTATCCTGTCTCATATCACAGGAGAGGCTGGAGCATCCAACTCCTTGTTCCCTTCTTTTCCTTCAGGCAACCCCTTGAGCCACTCTGGGCTCAAAGGCGCCAGGGTGGACGGAGCCTCCTACCTGCGGCACAAGGAGCGGCTCCTGCGCATCTCCGTGCGCCACATGGTGAAATCCCAGGTCTTCTACTGGATCGTCCTGAGCCTGGTGGCTCTCAACACCGCCTGCGTGGCCATCGTCCATCACAACCAGCCAGCCTGGCTCACCCACTTCCTCTGTGAGTCCCTGGGCTGGGTGTAGCTGGGGTAGTTCTGCCTGGGCAGGGAAAAAACTTATTTTCTCCAGTGCTTGGAGGCTGCAGCACATTTTCAAGGCACATAGGGATGAGTCCCACCAGAARGGACCTCAGCTCCATTCATGACCAYGTACAGATATTTAATTCAGCTTTTCCCATGGCCMTGTGAGAGCTGTGCCAGCCCTGKGGGTGAACATGGACGTGTTGTGCTAGCTTCATGTCCTTCAGGTCTGATGTGTTTGTCATAAGAGAGGAATAGACTGCCATTCTCAGTGGGGTTTATCCCAAAATTGTGCTTTTGTGGTGATGGAGAGCTTGCTGGAGAGCCACTTTTGGATGTGCACCGGTCATTGCTGGAAAGGCATGAATTTGCAGGGGTGGGACTGGCCATGGCAGAACACCCTGGTTCAAATCTTTAAAACTTTTTAAAATCATGGTGAGGGAATCYCAGGCTTGAAACGGGTTACTGGAGCCTCCCTGAGCCCACCATGGGCCAGGGCACCARGCCAGGTCTCAGAAGCGCTGCAGCCAGGACCTCTGTAATGTGGGCTATTGCAGAGCAGCACGCTCAGCCCCACATGTCTCACTCCTGAGCTGCTGCAGTGGGGACAGTGCTGCTTTCTCAGCTGTGTTATTCTTACTCACCTTGAAACTGTCTCTGTCAAGCCGCAGCTCTACCCAAATGTGCAGTAGTAGGCTCAGGCCTGCCAGGCTCGCAGCACGCCGTGGTGTGGCMCGGCAGCTGGTCGTGGTGAGAAGCATCTTCTGGGCAAGGTGAAGAGCCRGGCTCTTGCCTGCTAAATGCTCATGAAATAGCTGGAGAGGCTTTTCACAACTCTTGGCTGTTGGGCTCTGTTTCCCTGGCCAGGTTCCAGCCACGCAATGATTTTAATCCAGGTTGATAATTTTCCCCTACAGAGCTGTGTGCTCGATGCCTTTGCAGGCTCCTCAGCCCCTGTGGTTTAATGCCAAAGAGCTGCTCTGCTCTGTGATGTCTTGTCTGGTCCCCTCAATCCCACGGGACACTGGTGCAGCTACCCTGAACAATAAACTCATGGATTTGATGCTCTGTTACATATGGTTTAGCTCCTCATCCCAAATCCTGAATTTGGGGATGCAGCACGGTCCTTGACTTGTCCCATCTCTGCTTTGTGCTGTATGGTCAGCTGGACACGGCTCTGTGTCCCAAGGGCAGCACGCTCGGGTTTTGTCTTTCAGACTATGCAGAGTTCCTGTTTCTCGGGCTCTTCCTTCTGGAGATGTCCTTGAAGATGTACGGGATGGGGCCACGCCTCTACTTCCATTCTTCCTTCAACTGCTTCGACTGCGGGGTGAGCAGCCCCAGGGGTGTGGGGGGAGATGCTTGGCAGGGTCTGCAGTGCAGGGCACGCAGGGGGAGAACGGGATGGTCCTCACAGTGGGCAGGGAGCCCTTTCTGCTGGGACAGCCTGAGATAATAGATCTTGGAAAGGATGGTAGATACCTCACCTTCAGGGATGTTACATTTTCCTGCTCCCGTCCTGAGCCTGTCTTTGACTCATGGCTGTGTCTGCTTCTCAGGTCACAGTGGGAAGCATCTTCGAAGTGGTTTGGGCTATATTCAGACCAGGAACCTCTTTTGGGATCAGTGTCCTGCGAGCCCTTCGTCTCCTGCGGATATTTAAAATAACCAAGTGCGTACCCACYGTCAGCACCCGTCATCCTCTGTCCTGGAGTGTGGCTGCAGCCCTGATCCAGTGTCTTGCTCTCCTGCTGGAGGTGTCAGCATTGCTGCCAGTGCTCCAGCAATGTCTCTGTTTTCTAGGTACTGGGCATCCCTGAGGAATTTGGTGGTCTCGCTGATGAGCTCCATGAAATCTATTATCAGCCTGCTCTTCCTCCTGTTCCTCTTCATTGTAGTGTTTGCTCTTCTGGGAATGCAGCTGTTTGGAGGCAGGTAGGTCGTTTCAAGGCTGAGGAACAGGAATTTCTTGGTGTTAAAGCCAAGTGAAGACACCCTTTTTAGGGGTCCAGCAGGATTGTAGCTTTCCCCCTCAGAGTGGTACTTGAGGAGGTACTTCCCACACAAAAATCCCCGTTTGAGGGGTGCCTTTGGGCTGTGTGGGTCCTTCTGGCCAGGAGACCTAGAGGTTGTGACTCCAAATGCTCAGGAGACTTTTTTTGGAGTGGGAAGTCCTTCTAAACACCAGGGAACTGACAGCACAGCAGTCAGGGGTTTGGTGACCTTGGTATTTCATCTTGTTTAATGTTCACCTGGTTCCCCTTCCAGGTTTAACTTCATGGATGGGACTCCATCAGCCAACTTTGACACCTTCCCTGCAGCCATCATGACGGTGTTCCAGGTAGGAGATTTGCTGCCAGGACAYACAGCCAAAGGGATTTGGGACCACCTGCTCCCTCCCCACAGCAGGAAGGGGCTCTTTACACCAAACCAGTTCTCTTCTMTCAGCTGTTAGCTTGAACTCGCTTCCCCTCTCTCCTGCATGGCAAAGTGGGTGGGAAGAGATGGAAAACCTTCCACCTCTATTACAGAAGATGAAGAGTTCCAAAACTCTTTCTCTGAGATTTTAAATCCTCAGTAATGCCCGATGGGATCTCCCTTGGTGCTGCAGCTGCAGCGTGGGTTATCCATTGCACAGAGGCTCCATGCTTGTGTCGGAGATAGATCCAGGTGATGGGAAGGTGCAGGTGGGATGGATCCAGAGAGCTCTCCAGGTGATGGGAAAGTGCAGGTGGGATAGATCCAGGGGGATAGATCCAGGTGATGGGAAGGTGCAGGTGGGATAGATCCAGAGGGCTCTCCAGGTGATGGGAAGGTGCAGGTGGGATAGATCCAGAAGGCTCTCTGGGTGATGGGAAGGTGCAGGTGGGATAGATCCAGGTGATGGGAAGGTGCAGGTGACAGAGCTGCTGCCTCATTTTCCTGCAGATCCTGACAGGCGAGGACTGGAATGAGGTGATGTACAACGGCATTCGCTCCCAGGGAGGCGTGCGCTCGGGGATGTGGTCCTCCATCTACTTCATCGTCCTCACCTTRTTTGGAAACTGTATCCACCGGGCTGCTGTGCTTTCAAGGGGAGACATTCCCAAGTCCCCACCCTCTCTGGGGGCAGAGGAGCTGGGTGTAGGTGCACTGAGGGTGGTTTCTGYGGGATGGGTGAGGAGTTTGTGCCTYGGGCTSAGCTGGTGAGGAGTCCTCAAGGCCGCCCTGCCCTGGGAGCTGCAGATACACATGTCCTTAACACGCAGCTTGTGCATCCTTAGCTGCTCTCAGATACTCTGCTGAACGTCTTCTTGGCCATCGCCGTGGACAACCTGGCCAAYGCTCAGGAGCTCACCAAGGTGTGTTCCTGCTGCTCCTCTTCCTTTTGCTGTGGAGAGACTGGGGGCAAAGCCATTAAGGTTTTGATTTAGGAAAATGCTTAAACCTGCTGGTTTTTCCAGAACACCCACGCTTCCCGCATAGCTTTAACTGTTTCTCCATTTAAACTCCCCAGTTTCATTTGGCACTGGTCAGGGTGAGATAACCCTCATCTTTTGGGTGGGATCTGWTGACTGTTATCTGCTGAGCACTCTKGAGATGTGGAGTGGGAAGCATTTTCCAGCGGTGTCAGTATTTATTCCCTATCTGCCYGCAGGGCAGCGGATGTGATTTAGGATGCAATTTAGGCTGGTGCTTAAGAAGCTTATTGGGCTTAGCAGCTTTTAAGACCATGCTGGGAAATATTTGGGGAATGCTAAATTGTTGGGGCACCATCTGGAKAACGGTGAGTCGGAGAGAGCTGCGAGGGTCGCTGCCACTCTTTGGAGCAGAACTGTGATTTTGTGGTGCCCAGAATTTTGTGGAGCCCGTGCTATCACTCATGCCCCTGAGGCTCCTTGGGAGGCTTCCACACCGGTGTAAATCTGACCCCAAACCGGGCATCTTGAGGGCTGTGTGCGGGGGTCCCTGTCCTCCCCGGTGGGTGCAGRTGGCACTTCCAGGGGCTGCCTCTGGGACGGGAGAGCCCCACGGGCACCAGCGGCATCAATTAGGAGAGCGCTGAGTTTTTGAAAAGGCTGAATGCTCGCTAATGACTCCTAATGACATTCTTTGCTCCGGAGACACGACCACACTCATTAAAGCAATCCGGTCTCTGCCGGGGTCATTCACGGATGCCTTACCTCCCACCCCGCTGGGGGCATGCCTGTCGAGCCCCTGCGGCTGTGAGGAAGGGAGGGTTGAGCTGATCTGCTCTGTCTGGGGTTGTTCCACCGTGCTCAGCCCGGCTCTTGCCTGGAGTGGGCTGGGTTCATTTATTTAAGCAGCGCTGACGCCTTCGGGAAGGTCTGGCGTGGTGGAGAACTTCCATCCCCACAGCACGGGGAAAGTRAAATCGGTCTCTGGAAAAACCTCTGGATAAAGGTTCCCCTTTATCCCTCGAGCTTTGGCAYCAAGGGTGGCCCTGGGCATCCCTCGCCGCTCCCGATGGCCGAGCCTTCCCTCAGAACCCCGGCACCCACTGAGCAATGCCCATTTTTCTCCCTCTGCAGGATGAGCAGGAGGAAGAGGAGGCCTTTAACCAGAAGCACGCCCTTCAGAAAGCCAAAGAAGTCAGCCCCATGTCCGCCCCAAACATGCCTGCTATCGAGTGAGTGACCCCCCAAYGCCACCCCGCTGACCCCCCGAGCCCAGCCAGGCTTAGAAGGGCACAGCAGAGCCTGGCATGGCTGCGTGTGGCAGCTGTCACAAGAAAAAAGGGTCCCCACATGGGTGACTCCCTCTCTGGGCATCTTCCTGAAGATGGATGGAGGTCCAGGGSTGTGCTCCCCACGAGCAGCAGGGCCTTTAGAGGGGTGACAGYGCAGGGAACAGGTCACCAGGGAGGACCTGGAGTCACCAGCCTCTTTGCCAAGCTGCAGCCTCAGTGCTTGGGCATGGTGGAAATATGCTAAAGAGGCTTTCTGCCCAAAATACAGAGCTCAAGCACACAGGGCTGATGGTAGGAGGCTGGGGAGGAGGAAKGTATCTCGAGTTATTCTTGAGGAGKKGTGATATTTGTTCCTGGGGAGTGTTTCTTCATGGCAGAGCTGCGGGAGAGCAGCCAGGGCTGAGGGAGAAGGGAGCAGCGGTTTCACAAATCTCCCTCGGGCTCCTTCCTTGGAAGGGAATGCGGTTAGGAGAGATGGAGCAGCKTTGTGAAACCATGTTTGATTCTACAAAAATTTGATTTGGGTGAGAAAAAGAAGCCCCAAACCACATAAACCTCCAGCATGGTGTTAAGAAGCCTTGTCTCTGCATTTCAGCAGGAGAAAAATCTGTTTTTTCCTTCCTAGATGCCTTTTTTCTCTTTATTTTGCGGTGTCATATGGTCTAAATCACATAAAACTTTCAAAGTCAACATTGGAACGAGGCGTTTGGATTTGTTTCCCAAAACAGTACATTTCAGTACAGCTGAAGGGATTATTTTATTTTTTTTTATAGAATCCCTTCCCAGGGAATTTTAGGTTTCGCTATGCTTTGAAACCCAGCCAAGCTCGTACACGGCAGAATCTCTTGCAGATTTGCTGAGAGAAACTGCTGTCTTCAGGCGAGTGCTGATCTGGGAGGGGTCAGAGGCAGATTTGGGGACAGCCCCCTCCCTCTTTTGGCTGTGGTGGATGCTGTCCCACATTCTGCGTGCTTTTATAGGCAGCAGGAACTGGGGGTGCTTGCAAACCCTGCCCCCCTGGTTTGGGGCTGATGGGATGCACACAATAAATCCCAAGAACTAGGGGGGYTTAGGGGAGAGGTGCTGGAGCCTGTGTGTTGGCTCTGTTTCTGGATACCAGTGGGAATGTGTTGGATAAAGCAAGGSAATAGAGAGCTTTTGGCTGCAGAAGAGCCTGAGGAATGGACAGATAGRAGAGAGGAAGAGGGGGAGATGGAATATATTAGGGCAGTAAAGGATTTGCCCATGCTGCACATCCCTGATAGAGCTTTCCAGTCATTGTCAGACTGAGCTGGCCGGGAAAACAGATCTCTTCAACCTTTCCTCGTTGTTCTGGTGGCATTGAAAGAAGAGGTGCTGCTATTCATGGGGCTGTTCTCCAGCTCYTCCCACTCTCCAGGATGGATCTGGGCAAGGAGTTTGAGGCCATGGCTTAGGCATGATGATGTTATCAGCTTCGGGTCCRGCGTGCTTTTGGTGGTGCTGCACTTGTGCCAGCAGACAGGGAGGGACGGTGGGGACACCACAGTGGCAGACAAGGCAGAGCAGAGCTGGCACAGAAGGG